AACACTACATTAAAAGAATTATATAGCATACCAAGTGAGATTTATATCAGAGTCACATGGATGATTAAATATTTGAAAATCAAACAATGTAATTCATTATATCAACAAAAAGAAAGTTAAAAACCATGTGATCATATCAACAGATGCCAAGAAAGCATAAGATTCAGCATCCATTTATGATGAATACCTTTGAAAAATTGGAGAACAATGTTATATATTCAGCATAATAAAGGTCATACATGACAAACCCATGGCTAACACCATTCTAAATGGTGAAAAAATGAAAAGCTTTCTAAGATACCATACAAGAAAAGGATATCCACTCTAACCACTACCATTCAATGAACAATATTGCAAGTCTTGTGAAAGCAGTTAGACAAAGAAGGATATAAAAGGAACCCAGATTTGAAAAAATAAGTAAAGTTATCATTATTTGAAGGTAACAATATACATTAAAAAACTTATACATTCCACTAAAAATCTAAGTGAAGCAATAAATAAGTTCAGCAAAGTGGCAGGTTACAAAATTAATACACAAAAATCAGTTGCCTTTTCACATGCAAACAATGAACTAGAAGAGGAACACATTAAGAAAACAACCTCATTTACAATTAGCTAAAACAAAGAAAAGAAAAAAAAAATACCTAGGAGTAACCCTAACAAAGAAGGTCAAAGATCTATACAAAGAAAACTATATGACATTGTCAAAAGAAATACAAGAAGACACAAAGAAATGTAAATATATTTCCTGCTTATGGACTAGAAGAATCACCATTGTCAAAATGGCCACATTATCCAAAGCAGTATACATTATGACTCAATGCAATCCCAATAAAAATTTCAGTGGTGTTTTTCAAAGAAATCGAATATTACTAAAATTTATATGGAAAACACAAAAGATACCCAAGTAGTCAAAGTAATCCTGATCATAGGAAGAATGGAGGATTCACACTTCCAGACTTCACTATAAAGCCATAATAATTAAAACATTGGTACCAGGGGGGAAAAATATCAAGAACACAGAGCAATGGAATAGAATTGAGAGCCAGAAATATAACCACACATATATGAACAACTAAGGAGCCAAGAATATTTACTGGACAAAGGAGCCAAGAATATTTACTGGAACAAGAAAAGCTTTTTCAATAATTGGTGTTGGGAAAAGTGAACAGCCACATGTAAAAGAATGAGACTAGATCAGTATCTCATATTATATTCAAAAATCAACTCAAGACTTAGACATAAGAACTAAAAATCACAAAACACATAGAAGAAAACACAGGCAAAACATTCCATTACATAAGCTTCAGAGATATCTTTGTGAACAAAAGAGCATATAAACAACTGGGACTATATCATACAAAAAAGTTTCTACACAGCAAAGAAACTAACACCAAAACAAAAAGATACCTACTGAATGGGAAAAATTATCTGTATACCATACATCTGATAAGGGACTGATATCAAAGATCTATAAGGAGCTTATATAAAAGTTAACAAAACCAAAACAAATAAGCCAATTAAACCCTACGCAGAAGAAATAAATAGATACTTCTCCAATGATGACATACAGGAGGCCAACAGAAACATGAAAACATGTTCATCATCACTTATCAGGGAAATGGAAATCAAAATCACAGATACCACTTTACATCTGTGACAGTAACTCATACCAAAAAGAGCAGAAATGGCAAGTATTGGAGAAGGTGTGGAGCAAAAGAACCACCTTACACAGTTGGTAGGAATGCAGATTGATTCAACCCCTACAAAAAGCAGTGTGGATGTTTCTCAAAGGATTAAAAATGGATCTACCAATGACCCAGCCATTTCAATCCTAGGTATCTACCCAAAGAACACAAAAAGACATGAATTTGAAAGGAATCTTACACTGCCATTAAAAAAATATATTTATTCATTCATTCAAGAACTAGGGTATAGGTCAGAGGTGTTTGTGTGTATGGGGAGAGTGGGGGGTGAGAGGATTCACTGGAGTGGGGAGCAAAAACAGGCAGATCTACTGAAATAGACTGCTGAAGGAGAGCAACAGGCAAAATAGGAGAGGCTGTGCCATATGAGTTAGCTCCCTCACTGGGGACTGAATTCATGTTATATTGGCTAGTGGTTTTTAAATCCTGCTCCACCAGGGAGGCCAAGGGAAGCCCCCTTCATTCCCATTTTTATTGCAGCACATTTATAATAGCTAGACTATGGAAACAACCTATGTGACCCAAGACAGATGAGCAGATTAAGAAGATGTGGGATATATATACAATGGAATATACTCAGTGATCAAAAAAGATCCATCCATTCCATTTGTAGCAACATCACTGGAGTTAGAAGGAATTATGCTAAGCAAAATAAACCAGAAGATGGTGTCATTTGTATGTAGAATATAGAGAAAGTAAACAAAGGGTCAAAGAAAAGCTTTAAGATCAACACTGAAAAGCTGACCACAGAACTGAGGCATACAGAGGTAGGCAGAGGGGTGAGAACAGGGCAGGGAGAGAACACAATGGACTATGGTGGAGGATTATGGGTGCTTTGGTAGTGGTAACTTCACCTGAAGGGAAAGATCTTTTACCTCCCAAATATTAACAGCTATGTATTTCAATAAAAACCTATTTAAAAAATAAAATGAAAAGAAGAAAAGAAGGGGCCGACGAGAAAAAGGACGAGTAAGGGGAATTGGCTCCATTTTTTTTTTTTTTGACAAATATCACTGATTACAAATTGTTTATATAATAAATTGAAAATTTCCTTTCTTTCTTTCTAACTAATTAGTGTTATTTCTACTCAGGACCATAAGGAACAAATCCAATATTGGATTTTTTTGCACTAAATATTTTCAGTTATTTCATCTAAAAATAGCACATAACTAAGGATTCTTACTATTCTGATTCCTAATGTACAATTGATAGTGCAGATGATGTTTATAATTGCCCTATTTTTTTCCTAGTATTTTTTTTTATGATTTATTTATTCATACAGAACTGGGTTGTACAGGCCAGAGATGCAGAGGGTAAGAGGATTCACCAGAGACAGAGCAGGAAGCAGAACAGGCAGATCAAGAAAGTACACTGCTGAGGGGAGCAGCAGGTGGGTCAGGAGAGGTCTGCCGCACCATGTGGTCACCTCCGGGGTAGGCAGGGATCGAACTCGTGCATAAGTGCCTTTAGCTTCTTAGTGCTGCGCTTTAACCTGCTGCGCCACCAGGGAGGAATTACCCTATTTTTCACTTTTATTATTGTTCCCATTCACAGTCAACCACGCTCTTTAGGTATTTAGATAATCCACTACTTTTTAGGGACTTGATTTGGTACAATCAAAGTAGCATAGACCAAATGAAAATTACCTTCTATGTTATTTTTAGTGTGCATGTTACATTTCAAAACTTCTAACTCAGTGGTGTGCTGGTAAAGTTTACCACACTCAAGAGGAAACAAGCTTGTTTTGTTGTACTTCTCTATTTTTACCTGTATAAATGGTGACTTCTTCCCCAAAGCTAGCACGTAGCTGAAATTTTCATTACCCTCTCTCATGAGCCAATACAGGCTGACTTCAGCATACCATTGCTTTTGGGTTATTGTGACAGAGAGGAGAAAGTAAAAATAAAATGAGTGAATGAATCCAGGACAGGAAGAGGTTGGCCCAAATCAAGGAAATTTAAGTGTAACTTCTTCTTCATCCTGAAAAGGTTGCCTTGGGTTGAGGCATTGCTTTGCACTGGCATTTTCCTGCTTCACTATTTTGATGAAATACCAAGGTTTGCACTGATAACACATTACTCTTTTCTGCAGCTGCTATATCATTCTCCAGATTATTGCTTCTCAGTGATTTTCCATTAGGCCCCAGAATTTATATTTTAAAGAGAAGGCTCTATCAAATGGTGGAGGGTTCTAGTCATTTGACTGACTGGTAACTTAACTATTACTGTTGCTACACTTCATTTTTGAATATTAGGTAAACATAGAATTTCCATAGAATTACTAATAAAATAACCTTATTCTGAATATCCAGAGAAAAATCACCTCTGAATTCTTTCTCCGTATTCCAATTTTCTGCCCAATATTCAGTGTCACCCAACTTATAGGTGCTCTTAGCTTCTTATATTTAACTTTATCATAGTACTTGAACACTTTATTGTAATGGTCTCTATACTTCTTGGTACAAGTGACTATGGATTCTGGAGGGAAAAAAGAAGCAATATTCTATCACCAGGAGTAGTATAGTACCTGGTACTACCTGAGAATCAATGAATGAAGTATTTGTTTTTTTTTAAACCTTTGCAGCTAACAGTATAGAATTTTGAAAAGAATACACACACACATACACACACACTCTCTCTTGGATTTATAATTAACAGACATTTTTTGATTTTGTTTGATTTCTCCCTGTCAAAGACCACAATGCTAATTAATGTCATTAATGGTAATGTTCAGAACATACTTACTAATTTTAGTAAGGTTATTATATAGGAAAAAAATCAGCTAAATTCAGCACAAAAGAAAGCTAACTCCAGATGATTTGGAAAAGATTTATGATTGTGTAATATTCCTCCATTTCACTGGAATAAATAATTTGAAATTAATTGTAAATGAGAAATACTTACCAGTAATATTTTTCCCATGGTTGTCTAATTTAGCCACTTGACTTGTTTCCTTATCTGTTTTGAGGGCATGCAAAGGTACTGAAGATTCCCTTTCTCTCTTTCTTTCTTGTTTATCCAAACTTTTGGGCAGGAAAAAAAATGGAATGGAGGAAGAAATGGACACCAGTCCACTCACAAGGAAACTAAGCCACCAAGCACCAACCCAACGAGAGTCCTTAGGAGTTATTTTTATTGTGCCTAAAATAAAGAATTAGAAGAAGCCAGTCAAACACCATTTTGAAATGTAATAAATTATGGGCAATAATGGTAATGAATCCTATTCTTCAACATGAGGGAAGTAAAATATATTTCATCTATTCTAAGGCACTATTTCCCTTTTTTACATTTGTCATTTCTGAAATCAAGGTAACAATCTTGAAATCAAGATTGATGACATCTATACAATTCCATCTAGGAATTGTTACTTCCTGTGTGAACTTGGTGACTTTTCTGGTAACAGAAAACCTAATGGTCACATGTTGAATGATGATAGAATATGGCTATAATTGAACTTTTAAACCTAAAAAAAACATTTAAGAACTAATTGTGGAACACATATGAATTCTTGCTGTTCAATGAGAACCCCATTGGCACAAATGCTAAACCTAAGAAAACACCAGCAATGAAATTTACAGCAATTTACCAGATATTTTCAGTCAACAGCAGGGAATTTTTTCCCTCCAGAAATCCAAATTTCCAGCTTTACAACTACACAGAGGATATTTGTGTAGATATACACACAGTGGAAACTTGAATTTAAAGTGACTCAGAAGATTTTTGTATCATTATAATTTCCTTCAAAGTGTACATGAATGATCTATAAATGCTATATCTCAACAAGTTTAAACGACCTATTCAAGTATAAGTAAACATACCAAACAATAAGAAAACAACACACACATTGCATAAGTATAAACCAAAATAATGACATTATTACTTTTTGATCTAAAAGAAAATTCCTTAAGATGAGAGGATAAATTATTTATCTGCCTACTGAATAATTTTCCTATATGCTCAGATGTGGGTATAAAATTAATTAACATGATTATATTGCTCCATAACCAGCAACTCAGTCCAGAAATGACTGATAAAATCAATGACTCTCTACACACTAAAAATTTATTCATCATCTTCAGAAGTGTCATTTGGATAACATTTGTCTGTTATTACTACTAGTCTAGACATAAAAACTAGAGGTAAGTGTACGAGGTAACCTAGCCAGAGAAAGCATGACAAAGTGTTTTCCTTGGCTTACATTCTGTTTTAAAAATTGGAAAATTGTACATGAAAAATTAGATTATGGGTTTTATGAAAAACTAATAGAAAAATTTTTTTCAATTCTGGATACAAATTTCTTCATGAAATGTATGGAGTGAGTCATTCACCCTCCCCAACTCTTCCCTTTAACCAACACACCTGATACTCACTACTCATGTTAGCTCTTTCATTTCTCTAATCATGAGACAGTTTGCCAAACTGTTCTTTATAGTATGTTCAAATCATACTCTTAACTGAGTAAGAGAAGATACAATAAATTCTACAAGTGCTGTGCTATAAGTGGAATCACCATGAATTCTAAAACACTGTAAGTAAGAATTCTGATTGAAAGAGATCATCCTACAAATTTAACCATTTATTTGTGTATATATAGTGATAAAAACCAAATGCAATTAGAGGAGAATGAGTAGAAATGTATGGAATATGAACCTAGATTAATTCACATGTCCTATAGCATGTTGTTATAAAATACTTTCAAATGTGGCTACAGTTGGCCCACTGTAATGTCTAATTTCATTTTTGGAAATTAATCCTTTGATCTCCTTAAGGCCTGGTGAGACAGAAAATTAGAGTTGTCTAGTCACAAACACTAATTACTTAATATCTATTAAGACAACTAATATCCTGTCATGTATGAAAAAAGAGATAGCAACTAAGTACACAAATAATTATGGCTCACTATGGTTAGGTTACATAAAATCATCCTTGGGCCAATGGGAGGTGATGAAGTCAGGATTTTTTTTTAAGAATTCACACTGTGGAAAAGGATATAAGAACTGTGTAAATAGAAAAGGAGAGGTGGTTTCTAAGTAGAAGTGCTAAGAAGTGAGGCTATGGGGTCCACTGAGTGAGCAGCAGTTAGTTTGTATTGTGGATTAATTAACAGTAAGCAAGTTTGTTAATTTTTCTTATTTTATACTAAATACATTTATAAGAGCTGGTATAAGTAGGAGCTGAATTTTATTTTTATTCTGATCATTAATAAATGTATTTGCTATTTGTAAATTGTGACAAATGGTCAGCACAGGGCTACTGAAAGAGGAAACTGGACTATTTGGAAAAGTGGTGTACCCTACCTGAAAAATATTATTATGTGGTTTTATCCTGGGTGTACTTACCCAGATCAACATAACCAATATCCACGTACATTTTAGAAAACAAAGACCCCATTACAAAGCCAATTATTGGACCAATCATTCCAACTGCATTCAAAATTCCTGAAAAAATATCAAACAATTTTATCAGGTGCCAAGAATATGTAGTTCTTATTCAATTCTTTTTAGCAACATTACATAATATATTTTTCCAAGTAATTGTCATAAGTAACAGTGTGAATTTAGGAACACTATTATTTCAAAGGTAGATGCAGGAAAAGTAATCATAAAATTTATTTTCTTTACATTACCTAAATACAAAGAAGACTGTCCTTCTTCAGCAAAATCATCAATATAAGAAATCCCTAAGGGTACTATGGGTGTTTCTCCAATTCCACGAAGCATATTACCCATTAGTACAAATAGCCACATATATGATCCAGATTCCTTTTCATTACCTGTGTAGACAAAAGTGTTTATTTTATTAATTTTAGCAACCCAACTACTTTATTTATGCCAATTTTTTTGCTACAAGCATTATAGACTTAAGTGTCCAATTCATATTATAATCTAATTTCATAATTAATATCGTATTCTAACAATTTCTTCATGTAAAATTTTTTTTGTGTCAGGATTTAAAAAAACTGCACAGTAGTATGCTGAATAAAAGTTTCCAAATTTCATTTAACTTTTTTTTTTTAAGATTTATTTATTTGTGCATACAGAACTGGGGTACAAGCCAGAGGCTCAGGGGCGGCGAGAGGCTTCACCAGAGACAGAGTGGGGAACAGAACAGGCAGATCGACGAAGTACACTGCTGGTACACTGCTGAGGGGAGCAGCGGGCGGGTCAGGAGAGGTCTGCCACGCCATGTGGTCACCTCCCGGGCAGGTGGGGATCGAACTCATGCGGAAGCAGCTTTAGATTCTCAGTGCTATGCTTTAACCTGCTGCGCCACCAGGGAGGGCCTCATTTAACTTTTTAATCACAAAAATATTTCTAATTTTTCACTCTACAAAACAAAACTGCCCTGGCTATAGCTGTACACATATACTAGTGAACATTCCTATCAATAACTCGAGATATATCAATACAAGTAAAACTGCTGGCTTAAGGATATAAGCATAATTTTGTCTTTTGCTATATTGAAAACTAACTTTCAAAAAGAGATCCTTATACATTACTAACACTACTTAAAATGTGTCCTTTTCCTCTCTCCCCCATTTCTCTTTATTTTTAGTCTTTTCTTGTCTCATTTTTCTACTTCCTTCTACAAATGCCAAAAAAGCTCTTTATATGTATGTCAGCACTATGATTTGCCTTATATATACACCATGCAAAGGCCATTCTTTGTTTTTTACATCAATTTTGCTAATGAATATCACAAGTACTTTCATGGACAATTTAAACTGATTAATTTCAGGGCATTTTTAGTGATACAATCAATTCTTACCTTTTCCCACTACCTCAGGTAATGTTCTATTGAGTAGTGAATTGTGATTAAGTGAACAGGTTAAAAAACTTGATGTTGAGTTTTCTGATGAAGTAATGTAAATTTCTTTAGAATACCTGTAACTTAAAAAAAATCACTAGATTTAAAATTCTGTTTGTCTACTCAATATTTTTACTTTTCCTAGAAAGAGAATTTTCCCTTTTATTTGAACCATTCTCTTCTTCAGATTATCAAAATAGTCTTTGTCATTTTCCTACCCTGTATTTTAGGAGGTAGGATGGGTAAAAGAGACTGAGTGTGTTTCACTGTATCATCTCATGCGGTAGATTATTATTTTGTTATCCCAGGAGTGCTTATACTCTGGTCAAGATATAAAATAACTTGATTTCATGCTGCTTTAAAAATAAACAAAACTGAGCTACCTTCAAATATGGTGGTTCAAACAATTCAGATCTTCTAGTAACATTTTAGTAACATCTAGCAGTATTCTAATAACATTTAATAACCTTTTCTAAGTCAATCTAAAACACATCAGTTCACCTACATTTTCTACTAATCATTCATCTGATTTTCTTTTATGTCTATACACACTTATCATCTCTCCAATCCCCCCAAACGCTCATATGCCTGAGTATTCAAAACTTAGGTTAACAATTTTTTAACTATTTCAGTTTTATGAGGAAGAACTTAACAGGAACAAAAAAGATGGCACCAGATAAGGATAAATCCTAATATGCAAAATATTGAGTTACTCTGCAGTTCCAAAGGCAGCATACTATATATGTTAGTCATTACACTCAGCTCCAAAGAACTAGATAATAAAATATAGTCTCAGTAGTTAGGATATTTTACATATATTGTGTTTATACATATTTTAAAATATATAGTATTACATATTTACATAATATATACAATAGAGAAGGATGTACTTAATATACCCACTCCTGAGATCTCAAAGTAAAGAATCAGCTTTGCTTGGAGGTGGAGGAAGGGGAATTAGGAGCTCTCAGTGAAAATGATGCTTAAGATGAAACTTAAAGATGGACAAGAGTGTAATAGGTAAACAAAGAAGGAAAACTATTCAAAACTGTAGAAATACAGTAAAGTTGTGCCATATCATAATACATTTAGAAAACTGAAGGTCTATAGTGTGATCCTCAGTCCTGGATAGCAATTTAAGATGAAGTTGGTAAGGCAGTCAATGAACAAATCAGGAGTGACCTGTATATGTAAATGTGTTTAGATATTAACCCACAGGCTAGAGGCTTTCAATGCTTTTGACTGGGACCAACAGTTAAGACATACATTTTGCATTATAATCACAATACACTTATAGGGACACAAAAATGAACAAATATATATACAACCAAGACTACAGTTTCAATCTCCATTCATAATGTGCATTCTATTTTATCCCTACCCTATAAATCTGAATAACTTATAAATGTGAATAAAACTGAATTGACTTACTGATCCACTAGTGGTTTGGGATCTGAAGTTTGAAAACTAATGTATTAGGAAGTTGGGAGCTTTAAGTAATAACAGGATTTAAATAGCTATACTTGTGTTTTAAAATGAGTACTCTAGTACAGAATAAGAGTTGGAATGGAGTGGGGACTGGAGGCAGAATGCCAAGTCAGAGACATAAGCCTCAGTAGGTTAGGGGCAGAGTTGAAAAGAGGGGCCAGTATTGACAGGAGGCAGAATAAACAGGATGTATGTTGACGTAAAGAACAGGTGTTGGATGAGGCTGTTAATTTTTGTGGTCCTTTGTGGCTAAATGAGTTATCAATGAAAGAGAGAATTTAAAAAATCTGATCTGGTTTTGGCACGGGGTTGAATTCCATATTGAATATATGGATAAAAGATGTTTGTAGATGCTAGCATGGAGATATCCATGAGGTGGTTAATCACAGAGATCTTGAATATAATACAAAGTTACTACAGTATAGTTAACACTTAATGCATATACTTCTTACAAATCATGCAGAATGAAAAGTGGAGACTGAAGAAGAGTGTAAGGGGTACTTATAATCAGCAGAAGCAATGGAAAAGCATAGACACGATGAAAAAAATCACAAAGGTAGGAAGCAAATCAAGAGAGGTTCATATTGTGAAAGTAAAATGAGCAGTACAAGGAAGTAGGAAGTATGTATAAGATCAGATATGGGAAGGGGGTGCTATCATACCATTAACTCTGTATGTGAAAAATAAACTTCTGCCTTATTTAAGCCATCATCATTTTAGGTTCTAGTCATTAGAATATGACTATAATCATAACTTCATAGTGGATCATAGCGGACTTATGAAGAGCAACATCAATGAAAATGGCAATGGGAAAACTCATATGTAGCGGATTTAGTGGCAACGTCTTACTGACATTAAAATCTTGTAGCAAGGGCATAAAATACACATCATACTAAAAAGTCATAAAGTTCCATGAAACTATGTATCTTATTTAGTGCTATTCATATTTAAAAATCAATAGAAATTATAAATTAACTATTAAATAAAAAAAATTATTCATGCCTAACATTCTTAGTGGGCATAGTTTTCAGGTGACTGCTTATTTAAAAGAAAAAATTAAATACCACCATTCATTTATAAGCAAATGACTATTAATGGTACAGAGTTGTTTTACACTTACTATCCCATGAAAAAATGTGGTAAAGCAGTCAAAATACTTCCAGTTCCCATAAGGAAGCAACCAATTCCAATTAGCTTTGGTCTGTGTAGTTTGGATCCAAAATAACTCACAAATACAATCACAAGCAAATTTCCTAGGAAGAGAACAAAATAATTTTTATAGGATTCATTATTACAAACATTGCTGAGTACAATTTTGTGTAAAAAGGAAAACCACAAAACGGATACAAATAGAACATAAGCTATGGTATTCTCTCAAAGATCATAAAGCTTAATTGAGAATATCAAACTCATTCACTTTAAACCACTCACTATAAAATCATATGATATTAATAGTAAATAGACTAGCTATCAGATATAAAACACAGCGGTGCAACCACTTGCAATATTAGTGAACCAGAATTTTAATAAAGAATTTAGAGTTCTGGCCCTGCCTGGTGGCGCAGTGGGTTAGGGCACTACACTGAGAAGCTTAAGCCACTTCCTCATGAGTTTGATCCCCGCCTGCCCCAAGGAGATCTACATGGTGTGGCAGACCTCTCCTGACCCTCCTGCTGTTCCCATCAGCAGTGTACTTTGTCGATCTGCCTGTTCTGCTCCCCACTCTGTCCCTGGTGAATCCTCTCACCCTCCACATCTCTGGCCTGTA